CTGCTTTTTCGAACGTTCTCATTTTAATTTTTCAACTTTGAAAGCGTATTACAGCAATATGGATAAGAGCACAGAAATATATCAATACTTGCTGGATTCCCTAAACATTCAGCTTTCATATGCATATATTGGATTCATTCTATCTATTATAGTTTTCGAGTAAATCAATGAAATGTGAAAACACTGCTTTTTCGAACGTTTTTTATACTTTGAACGCGTATTACAGCAATATTGATAAGAGCACAGGAATGTATCTATACTTTTCTATAAGTTTTGATGAAATAAGAGTGAAATGTTGTAGAATGCTGCGTTCGTTTGCAATTTGGAACTATTGATCGTTCATTACTGGAAATTGGAATGATTTTTTTGTTTGTTTCGCAATTAAATATTCCATTCGAACCCTTCGATTTCCTGTGGTTGGCGGAACTGCGGCGAGCACTGGCTGTCATCGTAATTGACGAACAGGTGACAGGTAATTAAGAGTTCTGTTCCTCTTTTTTTTTTTGTAATTGTAATTTTGAATAATTTCCAATGTAAATTGTAACTTTTCCGCGGAAATTCGCAATGCATTTAGCATCTAAAATTGGTATTCGATGGGCTGCAGGGAATGTGGGACAGCAGGAGCGGAGACGAGACGGCAGGAATGCTGCGGCCGCCCGGCATGCGCACACTACGGAACGCACGTCCAGTGTGTCTGAGACGTTCCTACCTGTCTGACGTGAAGTTTGCAAAAAAAAATATAAATAAAAATAAATATAGGAATAGAAGTGCAGTTGGAACGAGCCCAAAAGCACCGACGAAGACGACGAAACTTCGGATCTGTAGGTAATTATTGTAGGGTGCGAGGGTGGTGTTGGTAGAGAGTTTCGATAGAGAATGTAAACATAACCTGCAAATTGCTGTTCTCTATTTTCGGTTGCGGTTTCTCATATATGTATATATAGTTTCTGTTGGATTTATTGCAGACATGAATGATGATGCAGTGATTGCCACCAACGACGATGCAAGCGAATGCAAACGGAACGCAGTCCAGCTGGGCTACTGGAAGGACAACTACATTTCACACTTGATAAAGCACGGCAAGAGGAGGGCTCCGGAGATCAACAGAGGTTACTATGCCAGGGTGAAAGGAGTCGAGAAGGTGATCCACAAGTTCCTGCAGAGGGTCGGTGACAAGGCACAGATAATCAATCTGGGCTCTGGCTACGATACGCTGTATTGGAGACTGATGGATGAGAACATAAGCATTGCGAATTTCATCGAGATCGACTTCCCATCAGTGACAGCGAGGAAATGCTACCTGATCAAGCGCAACAAGCATCTGCTGGAGAAGGTGTACACACAGGATGGGGAGGTGAAATTGAGCGCAACTGATATGCATGCAGGGTCTTATCACTGTCTCGGAGTGGATCTGAGGAACACGGCTGAGCTGGAGGAGAAGCTCCAGCAGGCGGAGTGCGATTACAATGCGCCCACTCTGTTCATAGCTGAATGCGTGCTGGTGTACATCGAGAACAATTGCGTGGATAGGTTGATGAAGTTCATAGCTGGTAAATTCCCGAACGCGCTGTTTGTTAATTACGAGATGTGCAATATGAACGACACTTTCGGGGATGTGATGATGGAGAATCTGAGGGCGAGGGGTTGCAACTTGGCTGGGATCGCGAGCTGCAAGAATCTGGAGACGCAGCAGCAGAACAGATTCGGGAACAACAACTGGAGCGGATCGAAGGCCTGGGATATGGTGAACGTGTACTACAGTTTCCCTGCCGGAGAGCGCGAGAAGATCGAGCGCATCGAGTTCCTCGACGAGCAGGAGCTGCTGATACAGCTGTTCCAGCACTATTGCATCTGCATTGGATGGATGGGCGACACCTTCGACGGGCTTTTCATCGAGGACGCCTAGATCTGTGCCCTCATCATCAACAACAACAATAACATCAAATTCAGCAGCAGCAGCAGCGATCGTGCATGTTAACCGTAAGAAGCCCCACCATACCATACCCTGAACCCCCACCGAATTTCGTTTACTGTGTAAGTATGCGTGTGACAAAAATATATGTAATAATGATTATTAATATTAAATATTTGTAAAATTACCTTTCGTTATCCGCTTTTTACGATGAATCGTATTTTTTGAATTGGATCGTTTATATATATATATATGTATATTATATGATGAGACATGTAAATGAAATAAAGTATATAATTAATGAATTACTCTTACCCTACTTCGATTGATGGATCTGTGATATTTTTATTCTTATATAAGTTTGTCTTCGTTGTGCTTAGCTAATAATAACAAATAATTTAGCAACGCTTTGTTTATAGTTTCCTCTGTGTTATATAAATGAATAAATATATTATATATATAGGCTAATAATAATCTTTTGTCTTTTTCTCGTCCATCCACCCACTCCAGATTCATTCATTCATATTCATATGCATATATTGGATTAATTCTATCTATTATAGTTTTCGAGTAAAT